CCCTTTTTTCGGGGGAGGGCAACAGTCGGGACGTAAGAGTGGCCGGGGGCCCTGCGGCAACAACGATAGCTCCATTCTGGGTTTTCGTGTTTTGATGGGGGGAAGCTCCCCCCCCCCCCCCCCTCCCTCCCTCCCTCTCCTCTCTTCTCTTCGTTCCCTCTCTCTCTCTCCTCTCCCCTCTCTCCTCCCTCCGATCTCTTATTTGGCGGGCTTGCTGGGAGCACGAGGCCGCGCCGAGGCGGCTGCAGAGACGGCGACAGCCCGAGAGCTTCCTCGCGAGTTTCCTCGTCCCTCGTAGCCGTTCAAGCCTCTCGGCCATTTCTCCCGCGCACGGGTCTCGGTGTCGCTTCGCGACGCGGGTAGACGAGGCCGGTGCCGGGTCGCGCTCTCAGGGCTGCCGCTCTCACTCGCTCACGCCCAGCCTCCCGGCGGCTCGAGAGGGCCACCCTGAAAATGTGTTCGACGTTGTTCTTGTTCCTTAGTTCCTTTTTGGGCTTTTCTTGTATTTACATGTGTCCCACCGTATACTCTTCGACGCGAGGGTTGCCCCCCCTTGCCCCACCACCTCGGGTGTGTGGACGAGAAGTTTACAGGAGAGAGAACGACGAGAGTGGGAAGAACGCGAGGTGGCATGAAGATCGCTGCGAGAATTGGTGAGATTTGTTCGAACTCGGGGGCACGGGACGCGGCACAAACGGGGCAATTGGTGAGAAACTGCGAAGAGAGATAGGAAGTGGTACTCGCATAATGTGGGTAAACCACCAAATAGGGGTTTTCACACCACATACTGGTTGCCAACAACATACCTAAAACATACTGGTTGCCCCTTCCTAGTACCGAATTCGGTACTATGAACAGAGAAGCCCCTGCTGCCGGCTCGCACGGCAGCCTCGTCCTCTGGACCAGCCTCAACTTCCGTACAGTCAATATTTTGTCGCTGCGTGCTCGTGGCGAGCTGTGGCGGCGGTCGAAGTTGGCCCAGATTCGACGACGAGCGCCGGACGATAGTACCGCCTCTGTTCGCCCTGTGCATGTCAGGCCAGGCTGCAGCAGGGCACTACCATCGTGCTGCCCTGTTGCAGCCTGACTTTGCCCACTGTGCACAGTCGCCAGAGCACCACCACCGCCCGGCATCGTGTCACGGCGAGCTCCTTCTGCGCCCGCTCGCGAGGCTCTCGCGCTGGCACACTTTGGCCATCTGCTGCTCGCGTTCGGCGAGCTCATCTCCGCACTCCTGCCACGGCGCCGTCACCACACACCTTCTGGCCGGCCTGAGCCGCGCGGGGTCGCCGGCGGGGGCAACGCGTCGACCTCTCTCTCTGGTGCACCACGGGCCGCGACGGCTGCTGGCAGCAGGTGCGAGGAGGCAGCGTGCTGGCACAGTCGAGCCGGAGCATCGGGTTCTTGATGCTTGTGGGGTCAAGTTTGACCTTATGTGGCATAATATGCAACAATAATGCTATGCTATCTCCCGGCTTTTTGAGATATGATCCCTCAAAGTCGAATTATGGAGACACCTCTGGGGGGAGGCGATCGTGTTGGCCAGTCGAGAAATTGAGAGTGTGACTAGGAGGGTGGGACGCTGGGGATTCTCAAAGGTATACCCTTGGAATGGCCGGATCCAGCCTTAAAAGTACGAGATCGCGCGCGCTTCGCGCGCTGCACCGCCTATTCTCCGGGCTGAGTGACGACGCGTGCCGTGTGCCAGCAGAGTTGGGCGCGCGCGGCGCGACGGCGCCCGCGAGGGAAGGCGCGGGTGCAGCGGCCGCCGGCGGCCGTACCGCCCGCCAGCCGGCGCAGCAGCGGCCAGCGCAGCGGCCGCCGGCGCAGCAGCCAGATCAGCCGGTGCGCGCCTTGCGAGGCGAGTACTGCCGCCCGGCAGCCTTGAGGCGGCCGGGCGGCAGTACTCGTTCGAACTTTGCGAGCCGTGCGCGCGCCGAGGCGCCCGCGGCGCGCGCCCGCCCGGCTGCCAGTAGGAGGCGGCGCAATATGGCCTATAGTACAGCCCTTGAGGAGGAGGAAGAGGCTGGCTGGCAGTGCTGTATGCCGCCGAGGGGCAGTTTTGGGGTGCTGTCACGGGCCCAGGGGGCTGCAGAAGGTGTCCGCAGCCGGGACTGGCGAGCGCGCGCCGATGGGGGGGGGGGGGGGTCTTGCTTGCTCCACACCGAGCGCCATCGGTCCGGACCGGTGCACTCACCGAGGGGTGGCCTGCACAAGGTCTGAGCCGCGGGCGCTCGGCGCCAAGTGCAGTGTCACGCTCGCACTGGAGCGGGTCACAATGGGAAACCCTCGTTTCCTATGTGTACTCGGTCCCCCAACGGAAGAGGCCTCGCTCCTATTGGAACATTCCAACATCAGATTTGCCTCGTGCGTCCCTTTTTGAGTCGGAAAGCTATTTTCTTTTGGGTCCTGTGGGCACCCTAACGACGAGGCGCCGACCGTGATGGCGGAAGGCGGCGAGGCGAGCAGCAGTGCCCCACCAGCGAAGCGGCCGCGCGGGAAGAAGGGAGGGAGAAAGGCAAAGATGGGGACGAATCAAGTCAGTGACGAGAGAAACAGAGGGAGCGCGTGACAGTGAGCGTGCCGTGACGATCTTGTGGAGCTCAAGTGTGGAGGAGAGAGCTCATGTGTTGATGTGGAGGGGTAGCTAGACGCCGAGCGGAATGCGCGCTCGGCGGGAGCCCCTCAGGTGCCTGCGCGCCGACCACCCCCCGGTGTTTTGACACCATTATTTGGTATATTAACCTCGCGGCCGCCTAGATAGACTGCAAGAGCTAGACACCGCAGGAGGCGAGGCTGCTGCTGCTGCTGCTGCTGCTGCTGCTGCTGCTGCTGCTGCTGCTGCTGCTGCTGCTGCTGCTGCTGCTGCTGCATGCTGCTGCTACCGTCGGAGCAGCTCTACTGTTCACATCGCGCTTGCCGCCGCAACTGCTGCTACGAACGCCGCGCCCAGATACTTTGCCCGCCCGCCCGCCCGCCCGCCCGCCCGCCCGCCCGCCCGCCCGCCCCCAGAGAGCGCCCCTTGCCATCGCCACTCGCACAAAAACGTGTAGGCGCTCGAGTCCTCCACTCGCGGCCTACTCGCTGCCTCTGGGGAGGAGGGGAAGACGTAGGGCTGCATGCGCGCCTTTCCTG